AATATCGAAGCTTTTAGCAAAGGGTAACAAAATTCACAGAGCCTAACTCTGGAATTTCTACCGGATCATGAAATAACTTCACTCTTTGACCATTAATTTGAACATAGAATTGTCCTCGGGATTGATTAGGTCAACTGCTCTATAAGGATAAACTTTATGAATGAGGAATGGTCCAGACCAACGGGACTTGAACTTTCCTGGAAACAGTTTTAACCTAGAGTTGAACAAAAAGGCTTTCTGACCAGCTCTCAACTCCCTGTGCTGAATTATTTTATCATGCCATTTTTTCGTTTTCTCTTTATAAATCTTGGCATTTTCATAGGACAGATTCCTATATTCCTCTAATTCACACAATTGGACTTTTCTTTTACTTGCAGCCATATCTGGGCACATATTTAATTCTTTGATGGCCCAAAATGCTTTGTGCTCAAGTTCTAAAGGGAGGTGACAAGTTTTACCAAAAATCAGCTTATATGGAGACATACCAATAGGTGTTTTAAAAGCAGTCTGGTATGCCCATAAAGCGTCATCTAACTTGAAAGCCCAATCCTTTCGGTTTGGCTTGACAACCTTTTCTAAAATTCCTTTTATTTCTCGGTTTGAAAGCTCAGCTAATCCATTGGTTTGTGAGTGGTAGGCATTTGCTATTCTATGGTTAATGTTGTACTTTTCAAGAATTGCACTCAACAGATTATTTACAAAGTGGGTACCCTCATCACTAATTAGTGCCCTTGGGGTACCAAACCTTGTAAAAATCTGTTTTTGAAGAAATTTAACCACAGTTTTGKCATCATTAGTAACACAAGCCATGGCCTCTACCCATTTAAATATGTAATAATGATTTGATGGGAGAAATGGTCCCATGAAGTCTATCCCCCATACATCAAACAACTCTACTTCTAAGATCCCATTAAGTGTCATTTAATTCCTTTTGAAAATGGAACCACTCCTTTGGCACTCATTGCATATTTGTGCAAAATTATGGGCATCTTTGAAGAGAGTAGGCCAATAAAAACCAGATTGTAATACTTTAGCAGCTATTCTTTGGGCTCCAAAATGTCCTTCATTTGCTGCTTGGTGGCAATGCTCCAGAATTGCTGTCACTTCAGTTTCAGGGACGCACCTTCTTAAGATTTGATCTGCGCTGATTTTAAACAAATAAGGGTCATCCCAAAGGTAAGTTTTAGTATCATGGAGAAACTTTTTGAACATATGGCCAGAAATATCAGATGGTCTAATTCCACACGCCACATAGTTTGCTATATCGGCAAACCATGGTGGCTTTGATTCTAACACTAGAATTCTCTCATCGGGGAATGTAATCTCTCCCTCCTCTAGGTTCTCCCTAGGCTTCTCTAATCTTGACAAATGGTCTGCAACTTGGTTTTCTACTCCTTTTCTATCAACTATCTAAAGGTAAAACTCTTGCAACAACAGAACCCATCTTATTAACCTAGGTTTAGCATCTTTTTTGGAAATCAAGTACTTAATGGCAGCATGGTCAGTGTGAACAATGACCTTTGTTCCCATCAAATATGATCTGTATCTTTCAAAAGCAAAAACCATAGCTAACAGTTATTTCTCAGTTGTTGTGTAGTTAAGTTGTGCTTCATTCAATGATATCTCCAACAACCCAGTTACTAGCATCACACATGATCTCAAAAGGTTTGTTCCAATCAGGAGCAACAACTACTGGTGCGGTTACTAAAGCTTTCTTTAAAGTGTTGAAGCATTTCTACATTCATCCGTAAAATCAAATTTTTGGTCATGCTGCAAAAGTAAACATTAAGGTTTTGAAATTTTTGAAAAGTCTTTTAGAAACCTTCTGTAAAACCCAGCATGACCAAGAAAACTTTATACTCCCTTAACAGTAGTTGGTTCAGGTAATTTTTCAATGATTTCAAGTTTGGCTTTGTCTACCTCAACTCCTCTTTTGGAAATCAAATGGCCTAAAACAATTTTTTCTTTGACCATGAAATGACATTTTTTCCCAATTGAGAACCAGATCAGTCTCTTCACATCTTTCAAGACTCCTTTTTAAATTTTCCAAACAATTATCAAAAGATGAGCCATAAACTGAAAAATCATCCAGAAATATTTCTATGGATTTTTCAAGCATGTCAGAGAATATGGACATCATGCATCTCTAAAAAGTTGCAGGAGCATTTCAAAGTCCAAAAGGCATTCTCCTAAAGGCAAAAGTACCATAGGGACATGTGAAGGTGGTCTTTTCTTGGTCCTCTGGCGATATGGCTATTTGGTTATATCCGGAGTATCCATCCAATAAACAGTAATACTCTTTTCCAGCTAACCTGTCTAACATCTGATCAATAAAAGGCAAGGGAAAATGGTCTTTTTGAGTGGCTTTGTTTAGCCTATGGTAGTTCATGCATATCCTCCATCCAGATACTATTCTTGTGGGGATGAGTTCATTTTTGTCATTGGTGACAACTGTAAACCCTCCCTTCTTTGGGACACACTGGATTGGTGTAACACCCCATACCACACATTGCATGTAACACGTACTTCATACAAAAGAAATACATGTTTAAATCCTACATTGGTCCCTTAATACAAGAATCTACCAATATAAAATACATGGTCCAAAAATTCAAAATACAAATTCTTGTACTAATCCAGTTACATAAGCCAAAATTATGCAAATCATCAGCCACTCTTTATGTAGATAAACATATAGGGAAATTATTATATTTTTTCTTTTCCCTTACCATCAGCACTTCCTGCAATATATATTTGAAATCACAAAACGAGGGTTAGACCGAAAGGGTCTAGTGAGTTACTCTATTTATGTTATTGCAGGGTGAAAATCACCAAAACTTTTAAATAAAACAACTTTTCATATATATAACAAATATATGAACAAGTGAGAACATAATATTAATACCTTTCACCTTTCAGGCCAATAATCTTTGCTTGCAAATAATACATCAACTCTAAACAGGTTTATATTAACCAAATTAACATAGTGCCACTTTTAAACATTTTCTATTCAAACAAGGTTTATACAAAGCTTCAAGCCAAACCTGTTATCCCCTTCTCTATAACATTCAGACTATGATTTCCAATAAGAACCCTGATCCTAAATCTTTAAATCACAAAGAAATAAAGATTCTACACCATAGTAATCTTAAGGGATATGATACTAAGAGTTATATTATATAACACACACATATAATTGCCACCCTTATATCTAAATATACACCTCTTCTTAATATGCCACCCTTATCTCATGGTACACCTCTCCTTGATATGACACCCTTATTTTCTCATCAAAAACATTTCACAAAACAATTCCATTTAGACCGCAGTCAATGGAATTACCAGTTCAATATCATCTTTATCAAAATTCCCATTTATAAATAAAAACAAGTCAAAATGCAAATCCAGTCAAAATAGACTTGGCCGGACTTCATCTTCGGTTAAGTCTTGGCCGATTTACCAAATCCGGACAACAAATCGCCCAAGGCTTGTCCGATTTACCATTAATCCGGTCAACCTTGTCCGGATAACAAATCCGGACATCACTTCACATAGTTTGTCCGATTAAAAATAAATCGGTCACCATTTAGTCGTATTCCTACTTCTCCGTTCAAAATATTTAACATAAACTTAATATTCATAAATCGCTCAAGTATTGTCCGGTTTAAAAGTAAATCGCTCGGCTCTTGACCGATTTAAGTATATCCGGACAACTTCACCAAGCGATTTATCTATAATCCACTCAAGTCTTATCCGATTTAGGGCTTAAATTGCCCAACCCTTGTCCGGTTTAAGACTAAACCGCCTGACTCTTGGCTGCTTTAAGTCTAATCTGGACAATACCTCAATGGTTAACTTTCAAGTCAGATGAAAAAGCTATACAATCAATTATACAACTATAAACAGTTTAAAAGCAATTTAAACCACTCACCTTAAATCTTTTTGAAACCACACACTTGAAATCAATTTGATCTTCAATCCCAGGAATAATCCGGTCAAGTCTCTCTCTCTTTAAGTCGCTCAATAAAGGTCTCAAAATAGCAAGAAGAGTACAATGGAGGCTTAACCTCCCTTTTATACCCTTCCTAAACAAGGAGGCTACTTCATGTGTATCCAACTTCTCATGCATGCATACAATCACGCATATATATGCATAATCATGCGCATAACTAATTATGCACATACACACAAAATTTTCAATTATATGCTTTTCACCTTATGCATATAATTTCACATACTAGCATGATCAAGTATAACAATTTATCATGCTGTCACATAATTATTCAACAAATAATCACAAATTAATTACCTCAGGTGATAAATAGGATCTAGTTATCACAATTGGACTAACCCAAGAACTACCGGCTATTGGAAAAATTAATCCTGCATCTAGCCATTTCAAAATTTCCTTCTTCACTACTTCTTTCATGACCGGGTTCAATCTCCTTTGAGGTTCTATAGATTTGAAGTTCTTTTTCATCTAGGATGATCTTATGTTGACAAATAAAGAGACTAATCCCCTTAAGGTCAGCAATGGTCCATCCTATGGCTTTTGTGTGCAACTTCAACATATCTATAAGCTTCTTTTCTTGATGTAAGTCTAGGGTATATGATATGATGACAGGTAATTTAACTTCTTCTCTTAGAAATGCAAACTTTAAATGTGATGGGGGTTGCTTCAACTCCAGATCAGGTGGTGAAATTATGGAAAGGGTAAAATTCTTAAGCTCACTATTATCCAGCAACTCAAATGCTGCAGCAAAAGATGGGACATCACCTTCTAAATCCTCAATAGTCTTATCACCTATCTCAACAACTTCCTCATCTTCTAACTTACAGTCCTTCCTAACTCCTTCCTCATAGCACATTGTCTCTATCTCAATAACTCCTGAGCATTCCTCTAAGTAATCAAGGTACTTTAAGGAATTGAAGACAATAAATGTGACATTTTGGTCTTGGAGTCTCATGGTTAGCTCTCCTTTTTGGACATCAATCAAAGTTCAACCAGTGGCTAAGAAAGGTCTTCCTAAGATTATGGGAATATCCTTATCAGCTTCAAAATCCAGGATGCTGAAGTCAGTCGGAAATATGAATTTGTCAACCTGAACTAAGACATCTTCAATCTTGCCTTTAGAATAAGCAATGTTTCTATTGGCCAGTTGCAAGGTGACAGTGGTGGGTCTAGCCTCTCCTATGCCTAAGGTGTTGAAATCAGACAAGGGCATAAGGTTGATACTAGCTCCTAAATCACACAAAGCTTTACCAATCTCCTTTCCACCTATAAAACAAGGAATAGTGAAACTCCCTGGGTCTTTAAGCTTAAGAGGTATTTTGTTGGTTAGAAGAGCACTACATCCTTCGGTAAGAGCTACGGTCTCATATTCAGTTAGCTTCTTTTTCTTACTCAAAATGTCTTTAAGGAACTTGGCATAACTGGGCATTTGCTCTATTGCTTCAACAAGAGGTATGTTGATGTGCAATGCTTTAAACACTTCCAAAAACTTCTTGAATTGTAGTTCTTTCTTTTGATTCCTTAACCTTTAGGGAAAAGGAACATACAGAGGAACTGGCTTTATGATGGCTTTATTTGGTTGTGTTGAGCATGATGGGTCCAGAGTCCCTAGAGTCTTGGTTTTACTTTATTGAGGTTCAGATGGGATTACAACTTTGGTTTTTGGACCTGTTACAACCTCATCCTCAATTGGCTTTTTCCTAGCAACTTCTTCTGGGAATAACAAAGGATAGTTCGACTTAGGAGCAACAAAGGTGGTGGTCTCAAAAGGTTGGTTATCCAGAGGTTTAGGTGGACTTTCAGTAACAGGGACCATGGGTATAGTCTCAGGTTTAGACACAACCTGTTCACTTTCTTTTGGGATGTTCTCCGTTAATTCCTTACCACTCCTAAGAGCCACTACCTTTACATGTTCTTTTCCTAGATCTCTCGAGACTTCAGTGTTACTAGGTAAAGTACCAAGGGCTCCATTATTCTGATTGAGAACAAGTTGACTGATTTGCGTTTCCAGGTTTCTGATTGCAGCACTTTGTTGATTGAACAAAGATTGATTTTGAGTAATCATTTGCTGCTGTGCTTGGGACTGAGCCACCAGTCCTTTTATCATAGCTTCCAAAGAAGATGATGATTCGGACTATGGAGGTGGTTTGGTCTGAAAAGGTGGTTGATTACTTTGAAAATTCTAGTTATGGTGATTCTGAGGGTTAGAACTGCTTGCATGTTTTTGTTGTTGAAAATTAGGGTTTCCTTGTTGCTTATGGACTGGAGGATTCAAACTTGGACTATTCCATAAAAAATTTGGGTGCTGTCTCCAACTGGCATTGTATGTGTTAGTGTAGGGATTTGATCTATTATGAACATAATTCACAGATTCATCATTATGTGGACACAGTTCATAAGAGTGTTCCCCTCCACAACAGACACACTGCACTGAGAGGACTGCTGGAATAGGTGATGTGACAGCTAACTACACTCCTTGGCCAGAAGTTAGATTTTTAAGCATATTGGCCATAGAAGAGAGTTGTGCTGTCAATGCAGTATTTGCATCTACATCATGTATTCCTTCTTTCTTCTTTTGCGGTTGAGCACGTGGATTAGCCCAATGTCCATTATTCACAGAATTTTTTTCTAGGATCTCATATCCTTCATTATAGGTCATAGTTATAAAGGCTCCTCCCGCAGTTGCATCGAGCATCTTTTTAGCAATGGGACTTAACCCATTGTAGAATGTCTCGAGTTGAATACAGTAGGGAATGCCATGGTATGGGCATCTCCTTAACAGCTCTTTGAACCTTTCCCAAGCATCAAGAACAACTTCATTGTCCATTTGTTTAAAAAGACAAATTTCATTCCTGGACTTAGCGTTCCTGGTTGGTGGGAAATATTTTCGCAAAGAATTTTCCACCATGTTACTCCATGAAGGCACAGACCCCGACGATAATGAATTAAACCATGCCTTTGCCCGATCCCTAAGAGAAAATGGAAATAAAGTGAGTCTCAGAACGTCATTAGACACTCCCGGGGTCAGGAAAACATCAGTGATTTGCATAAAGGATTTCAAGTGTGAGTGTGGGTCCTCCGAAGGTAATCTGGCAAACTGTCCATTTGTTGGCAACATATGAAACATTATTGGTTTTAGTTCGAAATGGGGGGCGGTCATATGTGGCCGAACTATCTCGGAATTTAATTGCTCAAAATCAGGGATGGCATAGTCCATGATCCGTCCATTTTTGGAATTTGCCAAATTAATGACGTTCGCAGTTTGCTCTCTTGGTTGTTCATTATTTTCATACTCTGTGTCTTCATTACCCAAATTATTATCATGATGTGGGTGTCATGCGGAAAATTAAAATGGTGGTATTGAACCAAATGCAGGCGGTTGATTTTCTAATTGTGGAATCTCATGGATGATTGGGGGAGGTAACTCCATGTTGGGAGAGAGTAGAGCAAAAAATGCTCTTTGAGCCCTCTTTCTTTGGTGAAACGTTCTCTCAATATCGGGATCCAATTCAAAAATTTCCCCGTGATGTCTCTGTGACATACACCACTTTCAAAACGGATTTAAAACGGGACTAGAAAAATCAAATCTTTTTCTTCACTAAAAAGAAAACTTTTAACTAACTAATCCCCGGCAGCGGCGCCAAAAACTTGACCGAAGGCGTGCTAACACACCACATACTACAATCAAGACCAAAAGCAAGTATACAAATAGTCCCAATATCGTCTTTTAAGTAATAAAAGTGGTACAAGTACCGGATATCGTCCACAGGGATCGTAGTAAAAGTTTAGAAGAAAGTAAAGTTAAAGAGAGGATTTCAGAAGGCGAATTCGAAGACTTTGATTTGAACTGAGTTAACACAACTAAAAATTAACAAGAGATAACAGAATAATAAAAGCAAGCTAGGGTGTATGACTTTTCGGGTGAGATGTAAATACTATTTCCAGTAGACCAATGCTGTCAAAATGCTACAGCATGAGACCATGCTGACAAATTGCTACAACATGCAATCAGTAACAACTATTTTTACCAATTACTTTGAAGGTATTCCTCTCGGACTTCACCAATGCACTGATATTATAGCTTTCAACC